AGCATACAAGAAAGAAGATTTAGAAAAATTGATTTCCAGGGGGCAGGCCAAATAAGTTTGGGAACCACTGAGCTAGGGTGTCATTTGGTAGTTCACGCCAACCCGGGGTTCGAACTTGCAACCTTTTGGTTGATAGACCTTACAATTGCTGACGATTTACCAGCTGTGCTAAACCTCCGCAGTGAGGACATCAGTTTCCAGGTGGAAGGTGGTCCCAGTCAGGGTTGGCTTGACACGCTTTCATCTTGGCATGTTTCTCCCTTTCACCCTCCATTCATACCTCTTCAAATTCCTCAGCACTGCTGGTCACAGCTGACTTCCAGTGAGACTGCTCACTATAACTCAGTGTCCATGCCACCATTTTTGAGGTAGACTTTAAGCCCATCTTTAAATCTCTTTTCCTGTCCACCAACATGACATTTCCCATTCTTGACTTGAAAGTATAGTAACTGCTTTGGGAGATGGTGATCGGGCATTCAGACAAGTATAACCTCAAACTTGCCCCCCACACATGCATGACAGTTTTTTTAAAAGGCTAAAACTTCAAGGCGTCATGGAAAGACTCATTTTTCAGTGCCCTTTGGACCACTTTATATTCTAAATAAATGTGTTGTGTGGGTGGGGGGGGGGGACTTGTATATTTTTCATAGATCTCAGTCAACCAACAGTGGTGGAGGATTTGTCCCATGTGGACAAGAACATTCCCAGTTCTAAGCCTGTTGTCAGAAAAATAGAATAGGATGAGGATTTTGAAATGTCTAGCAAAAAGGCTGACATCCAGTGGGATGCAGGGGGAAGGACTGCTCTGCTTCACCTGCTATCAAGAGCCAAATGCAAAAGCAGCAGCAACCTAGCAGTGGATGGCTTCAGTCCCTTGAGTCATTGACCCAGCACACTCCTCTTGCACCATCCTACTATATCCAGGGAAGGAAGCTGGCATGGCTCTTGGACCAATTGATCATTTTATTTGCCAATGAACTTTAGGGCAAGAGGGAGGAATACAAAGGCAACACTGTCCCGGTCTCTGTGGCGCAATGGGTTAGCGCGTCTGGCTGTTAACCAGAAGGATGGTGGTTCGAGCCCACCCAGGGACGGCTGTGGGTGACCCTAGCTGGACAAGGTGGCCGAGTGGTCAAGGCGATGGACTGCTAATCCATTGTGCTCTGCACGCGTGGGTTCGAATCCCACCCTTGTCGACCCTTTTCCCAATGAATGTAAAGTCCATGGTTCTGGTATCCACAGTTTAATTTATCCACATTCCACAAATTTTTCTAGGTCCTCCTACATGACTCTATGGTCATGATGGCCCAGAAATCCTTCATTTCAACAGGGAATGCTATTATTCATGGTTCTGTGCAACTGTGCAAAGTCCAGGAGTGTATCCTGTTATGGTTTGATGATATGTGCAGACCAGCAGATTAGTCCTTTGTATATTCAAAAATGAATGAAACAAGTAGAAGAAATGCAAAACTTAAATGTTGCTCTTGTGCAGCAGAGTTCATGAAAAAACTGTAATTTCAACACAAATTTTCTAGTAATAATGCAGTCACAATTCCTCTGGATTCTCAAACTCACGTATGGTCCTTGCATTTAATTCATGCAAAGCTTTCCATCAGAAAATATATCTTCTCCCAATCTGCATTTCTTGTTCATGGAGACGAGTATGGAAGACAAACTTGGCAGGCTGCAAGCCAGGAGCTTACGTTGAGTAAACTCAGGGGCAAACATACAGTAAGCCCAAAGTCATACAACAAAACAATCTCCAGTTACACCCCTTCGGGACTGGCCCAAAACTTGTGTACTTCCAATTAGCCTGTGGATTGTAATTAACCAGGGCGAGTCTTTTTCTCTAAACACACACATGGTAGTGATCCCACAGGAACTTAGCTATGTACCTTAATATATCCCATATGGATTTTGCTTTTAGGTTTGTTGCAATCAGCAAGAAAGAGTAGAGATTGATCTCCTCCTTCTTGTTGGTTGCATGGGCACACTATTCTGACATCACAGACGTGACCATGGTTGCCAGGAGCTTGGATAGAACTCCATGGTGGCCACATGGAGATGGTGATAGCCCATTGAGGCCTTCATAGTCTTGAGCCAACTGAACAATTGTAGTATTTACTAACATGATCTGGAACTGCTCCAGGCCAGACTTACACTGGGCTAACCTGCCCTAAATAGTGTAGATCAGACATGGGCAAACTTTGGGCGTCCAGGTGTTTTGGATGGTAGGCTGTTAGGAATTGTGGGAGTTGAAGTCCAAAACACCTGGAGTCCCAAAGTTTCCCCATGCTTGGTGCAGATCATAGAACTGGAAGAGACCTTGTGGGCCATCCAGTCCTATCACCTGCCAAGAAACAGGAAAATCACATTCAAAGGACCCCTGACAGATGGCCATCCAGCCTGTTTAAAAGCCTCCAAAGAAGAAGCCTTTGAGGTAGGGAGTTCCACTACTGAACAGTTCTGTCTCAGTTAGGAAGTTCTTCCTAATGTTCAGGTGGAATCTCCTTTCCTGTAGTTTGAACCCATAGTCTCCAGGGCAGCAGAAAACAAGATAATCACAGCAACAGATAATAAATAGGAGCAAATGTTTTTCTTCACAGTCTCTGCTCTTCGGCTCATTTGCTTGAGAATTTCCATTCAGCTCCTGGCCGTGGTTCGTGCTGCTATGCCAAAGTTTCTGTAGTGTAGTGGTTATTACAATTTGCCTAATGTGCAAAAGGTCCACAGATCAAAGCTGGGCAAAAACATTGGGGTTTTTTTGGGTTGTTGTAGGTTTTTTCAGGCTATATGGCCATGTTCTAGAGCAGGGGTCCTCAAACTAAGGCCCGGGGGCTGAATATGGCCCTCCAAGGTCATTTACCCGGCCCTTGCTCAGGATCCACCTAAGCCTGAAACGACTTGAAAGCATACAACAACAACAACAATCCTATCTCATCAGCCAAAAGCAGGCCCACACTTCCCATTGAAATACTAATAAGTTTATATTTGTTAAAATTGTTTTTCATTTTAATTATTGTATTGTTCTAAAGTGTTTTTTGCACTACACATAAGATACGTGGAATTCATTCATGTCTTTCTCAGATTATTATCCGGCCCTCCAACAGTTTGAGGGACTGTGACCTGGCCCTCTGTTTAAAAAGTTTGTGGACCCCTGTTCTAGAGGCATTCTCTTCTGACATTTCACCTGCATCTATGGCAAGCATCTTCAGAGATTCGTTGAAGAGGATGCTTGCGATAAATGCAGGCTAAATGTCAGGAGAGAGTGCCTCTAGAACATGGCCATATAGCCCGAAAACACCTACAACAACCCAGTGATTTTGGCCATGAAAACCTTTGACAATACACGTTTCCCCCCCAAAGACTAAAGACGTGGATGTTTCATTGTGCATTCGACTGACAACCCTTTTGACAGATGGTCTTTAACCATGACCTGAATTCAAATTCCTATATTTGATTACTACATTTTTAAGTAAAGCTGAAATGATCCTGTTTAATTGCTCTATTCCTATGCTACCATACGTTCTATCCAACTTATTGACCTGCCTATCCTTTAACTCGCTTCGCATATTGTCCCCTCCCCCACCAAAATGCATCTGTTGTTGCTTATGATGTTTATTATTTATGCTGTTTTATGCTATTTCGATATGTTATTTCTGTTTTTAATTGTATGTTACCTTGGGCTTGGCCCCATGTAAGCTGCCCCGAGTCCCCTCGGGGAGATGGAGGCGGTGTAGAAAAATAAAGTTCTTTTCCCCTCACCTACCAAACTAAAATTCCCAGCTGAAAATGAAAGCGGGAATAGGAGAAATCTGCACCACAGTCTTCAGAGCTGGATGAACAGAGTCCAGTCTTCCTCAGGCCCTAGTGTGGCTTCGAATTTTCAGGGTGGCCAAACTTTGCTTTACCAAACTCTGAAACTCTTGTGAGATTTGTGTTTGTGTTGTTTTATACATGTAAGGCATTGAATTTTGCCAAGGTTAATGTTGTGAACCGCTTTGAGTCCTCCCAGAGGTGAGAAATGCAGTATATAAATACAGTAAAACAAAAACAAACAAAAGTGCTGGGTTGTTGTAGGTTTTTCTAGAAGCATTCTCTCCTGACGTTTCACCTGCATCTATGGCAAACATCCTCAGAGGTTGTGAGGTCTGTTGGAAACTAGGAAAATTCGGTTTATACATCTGTGGAATGTCCCGGGTGGGAGAAAGAATTCTTTGGGTTGTTGTAGGTTTTTTTGGGCTATATGGCCATGTTCTAGAGGCATTCTCTCCTGACGTTTCGCCTGCATCTATGGCAAGCATCCTCAGAGGTAGTGACCACCTTAATTAGCATTTGATGGTCTGGCAGTTTTTTGGCATGGCTTGTTAGTGCCTGGGGGAATCTTTTGTTGAGAGGTGATTCCCCCAGGCACCAACAAGCCACGCCAAAAAACTGCCAGGCCATCAAATGCTAATCACGGTGGTCAGTTGAAACATTCACACCTAGCTCCAACAGACAAGAGTTCTTTGTCCAACCCTGGTCATTCCACAGATATATAAACCCAATTTTCCTAGTTCCAACAGACCTCACTACCTCTGAGGAGGTTGCCATAGATGCAGGCGAAACGTCAGGAGAGAATGCCACTAGAACATGGCCATATAGCTCAAAAAAACCTACAACAACCCAGTGATTCCGGCCATGAAAGCCTTCAACAATACAAATAACTCTTTATTTTTCAGTGCCCACCAAACCCTTCCATATTATTTTCTGTTGGTCATGGGAGTACTGTGTGCCAAGTTTGGTTCAATTCCATCATTGGTGAAGTTCAGAATGCTCTCTGATTGTAGGTTAACTATAAATCCCAGCAACTACAACTCCCAAATGACAAAATAAACCCTCCCCCAACCCCACCAGTATTCAAATTTGAGGTATTTGTGCCAAATTTGGACCAGTGAATGAAAATACATCCCGAATATCAGATATTTACATGACGATTCATAACAGTAGCAACACTGCAGTTATGAAGTAGCAACGAAAATAATTTTATGGTTGAGGGTCACTACAACATGAGGACCTGTACTAAGTGGCCGTGGTATTAGGAAGTTTGAGAACCACATTGTATACGTACTGTATTCTTTCCTTGTCTCAAACTGATGAGACCATATCTATTCTGAAACAGAACACAAGTCTTTTTAACAAAATCATCAGACAATGGCATACCACCACCATCTTTTTTTCATCCCTGAGGTTTCATAAGTGGAGAACCCATATTGAAGCTTGCCCCAAGCGTGGAGGATCACCAACATCCCCTATGTGGATTTTCTTGTGTCTGTCAAGGGCTGTTTTTCGGGTATAGCTTCTGCCACATTCAGAACACCGGTAGGGCTTCTCTCCTGTGTGGGTTCTCCGGTGCCTAATAAGGTTTGATTTCCAAGTGAAGTTCACCCCACAGACTGGACACTGGCACGCTTGTTCTCCAGGAGGAGTCTTCTGGTGTCTCGCGGGGAAAGCATTCTGCTTGAAGCATTTGCTGCAGTCCAGGCCACACTGGTGGGGATCCTCGCCTTGGTGATTCTTCTTGTGCGTCAGGAGGTCAGGGTGATGAGAGAACCGTTTCTCGCAATGCGAGCACTGGTAGATTTTCTCTCGGATGTGGCCTCTCTCGTGAGCTACCAAGTCTGAACTCTCGTCAAAACACTCCCCACAATAGGAGCAGGGATATCTTTTGGCCACTTCTGCTTGTATTTCCTGATAACCATCGAGGCCGGTGGTTCCACTTGTTTGCTCTGGCCAACAATTCTCCTTGGACTCCAGTCCTTCGTCACCATTTTCTGAGACAAACAGAAAAATAATGACATTTATTTTATTTTATTACAAAGACTGATAAATATATGTTCTTAATATGTGAATTTGGTTTGATAGCAGGACACAGGAAATTAGATCGGCCCCCTCCCTGTTAGCATTTTGGAGGAAAGTGAAGACCTGGTTGTCCGAGCAGGCATTTGAATAGGCAGTGTAACAAATATAGGAATATGGAACAATTGGATGATGAGACTGGATCTTGATTTTAACTATGAGACGATAATGAGATGTTATGATGCTTAATTGATTGCTGCAATGCAACCTTATGATGCTTAATTGATTGCTGCAATGCAACCTGAGCATTCTAAGATCTACAGAGACACTCACTGGAACACCTCAGCAAGTGAGAGTCCAAAAGTGGCAGGCTCAAACCCAGAACCTGAACCAATGGCTGATACCAAATGAGAGACTCCCCCCTGGGCACACAGAAGACTGGGCGACTTGGAAGGCACTGAACAGACTGCGCTCTGGCACCACGAGATGCAGAGCCAACCTTCAGAAATGGGGCCACAAAGTGGAATCCTCGACATGCGAGTGCGGAGAGAGAGCAAACCACTGACCACCTGCTGCAATGCAACCTGAGCCCTGCCACATGCACAATGGAGGACCTTCTTGCAGAAACACCAGAGGCACTCCAAGTGGCCAGATACTGGTCAAAGGACATTTAATCAGCTACCAAGTTTGCAAAATTTGTGGTTTTTTTATCTGTTTGTTTGTTTTGTTCTGTTAGAAATGTAATACAATGGTATGGTTGCTGATGACACGATAAATAAATAATTAATTGTTTTTAACTGTTTTATGATGTTTTAAGCATTGAATTTTGCTATTGTGAACCGCTCTGAGTCGCCCTGATGGCTGAGAAGAGCGGTATACAAATATAGTAAATAAATAAATAAATAAATAAATAAATAAATAAAGGGATCTAATACTCTCAGTACATCACAAGCTGGACATGAGACAGCAGTGTGATGGAGCACCTAAACAGCCAATATATATTTTATAGTTTATCTCTAGTGTCTATCGGTGTTTCTCAACCTGGGGGTCAGGACGCCTGAGGGGTGTGTGAGAGCAGTTTGGGGGTGGGGTGGGGGGTCACCAAAGACTATCAGAAAACACATGTTTCTTATGGTCTGTCATGACCTTATTTCCTGGATTTGTGTGAAGCTACGAAATTAGGCCATGCCTTAGACCTGTCCTGTGTCTATTTGAGGATTGCCATGGAAATGGAGGCAATGCAGTGGAAAGGCCAGGGTGAGGAGTGAGGGAAATAAACTGTCAGTTGGAATTTTGTTGCATTTCCTAATGCATGCTTTTGAATTAAAGCATTCCAACTTTGTTTGTGAGGTAATTTCTTCACCAGAAAGCTACAGATCCAGATATGGTCTTAGGAACCCATTTGGTAGAGAAGGCTGAAGATATCTCTGCCTGTCCTCCTTTTTGGAAACAGATGGCAAATCCACCAAAAGCTCTCCTCATGCTGTGATTGTCCGGCCTCTCAATTGGCCTCTCAGCCAAGGGGGGGGGGGGGGGGGGGGGGTATTTCTGAGATTCCACGCAGGTAAGGGAGAGCATGTTGGTCATCATTTGTGGAGTTCAGAATGCTCTTTGATTGTCAGTGAACTATAAACCCCAGCAACAACAAATCCCAACTGTCAAGGTCTATTTTCCCATAACTCCACCAGTGTTCACATTTAGGCATATTGAGTGTTCATGCCAAATTTGGTCCAGATCCATCATGGTTTGAGTCCACAATGCTTTCTGGAGGTAGGTGAACTACAGCTCCAAAACGTAAGGTCAATGCCCACCAAACCCTTCCAGTATTTTCTATTGGTCATGGGAGTTCTGTGTGCAAAGACTGGTTCAATTCCATTATTGGTGGAGTTCAGAATGCTCTTTGATTATAGGTTAACTGTCAATCCCAACAACTACAACCCTCAAATGACAAAACCAATCCCCCCTAACAAATCCCCCCAGTATTTAAATTTGGGCATATTGGGTTTTTGTGCCAAATTTGATCGAGTGAATGAAAATACATCCTGTGTATCAGATGTTTACATTACGATTCATTAACAGGAGAAAAATTACAGTTATGAAGTAGCAATGAAAATAATTTTATGGTTAGGGGTCATCACAATATGAGGAACTGTATTAAGGGGTCGTGGCATTAGGAAGGTTGAGAACCAGTGGTCTAGACTGAAGGAAGTAACATAGCTATATTCTGCTTTGGTCAGACCTCATCTGGAATACTGTGTCCAGTTTGGGGTGTCCAGAAAAAGGTGACCAAAATGATCAAAAGTCTGGAAGCGAAGTCTATGAGGAATGGGAGCTGGGTATGGTTCGTATGGAGAATATTAACCTGAGAGCCATGTTTAAATGTCCAAATAGAAAACAGATTGTGAACTCTGACTTATTTAGTTCATGGCTATGTTGCAAACAGGAAGAGGTATTACAAGGTAGCTCGTGAAGGTAAAGGTTTTCCCCTGACATTAAGCCCAGTCGTGTCCGACTCTGGAGCTGGTGCTCATCTCCAATTCTAGGCCAAAGAGCCGGCATTGTCCATAGACATCTCCAAGGTCATGTGGTCAGCATGACTGCATGGAGGTAGCTAATGTACCGTTAAAAGAAAAAGGAAAAAAAGAGAAATTCTACCCAGGAAGTCATCTTTCTGTAGGGCATCCATCAGGAACTGCATCCTCACTTTGTCTGAAGACTCTTGCTCCAACATGGGGACTAAAGACCTCTCCACCTCAAAGAGAGAGAGAAAGATTTGAATGGATTTGTCCTCTGCTCAAAACCCACAATCCCACCCCACCTCCATACATACAAACCCTTGTTTGAGGTCTCAGGTTCTGGCCCAGCTGTCTAATATACTATTCTGGATCTTGATCCTTTCCTCTGGGGGTATTAGCTATCCCTCCCAATTTGGTATCATCTGCAAATTTGAGAACTCTTTCACCCCTTTTCCTTTCAGTTACTGGTTGAGATGAATTACCTCCTTCAAGGTGGTCTGGAATTTCCTCCTTTCATACTCCAAGGGCAGAGAGGGAGTTTGTCCTGAGCAAAAGGATGCCGTCATCATCAGGAAATCCAGAAAATGATCTCCCCAATCATGATGTAAGGTGCCAACTGGATTGGGTTGAACCTGAGTTCTTTCAGCCAGAGCATCTGGGTTGGTCCCAAATGGAACGATAGGAACGCCTTTTTCTTTTTCCATTCTCTGCCAGATTTTGTCAGCTGCTTTGGGGTCCCGTTCTTCTGTGTTTACTCCTGCCTGCACCTCTTGGACTGAAATGAATAGACAAACCATGGCGGTGTTAAAGTTGGTCCTCCACATTTGCGGATTTGACTTTTGTGGATTTTATTGTTTGCAATTCCAATGGATATTCTATGATTCTCTGGGTCAGGGGCCCTCAAACTTTTTAAACAGAAGGCCAGGTCACAGTCCCTCAAACTGTTGGAGGGCTGGATTATAATTTGAAAAAATATATGAATGAATTCCGATGCACACTGCACATATCTTATTTATAGTGCAGAAAACACTTGAAAACAATACAATAATTAAAATGAAGAACAATTTTTTAAAATATATAAATGTATTATTATTTCAATGGGAAGTGTGGGCCTGCTTTTGGCTGATGAAGTAGGACTGTTGTGTGCTTTCAAGTCGTTTCAGACTTAGGTTGACCCTGAGCGAGGGCCAGATAAATGACCTTGGTGGGCCTTAGATTGAGGACCCCTGCTCTTGGTCCTGCACTGTAACTCTATGGCCAACCCACAACTGAAAACTGAACACAGTCACACTGCAAGAGCAAGAGATTCCTAGAGAAAACATTACCATACTTTTATTTCTGTCCTCCTTCTTCCCAAAGCTCGGATTCAACATGGCTTATAATACAAAAAGAAATACAAGCAAAAATACTGGAAGAGACAATAACGTTTCGTAAAGTGGACAACAGTAGGAACACAGGGAGACCTTATAAGAGGTAAATTGATCCAGTCAAGGAGGCCACAACTGTCTTGAGTTTGCAAGATATGAACAAGGCTGTCAATGATAAAGTTTCCTGGAAGTTCCACATTCTTAAGGTCTCTGTGAGTTGGAGTACAAGTCAAAACACATGTAGCTCAAAAGAGACTAAATTGTATGTTTATAATAACACTGGCATATATACCCAACATTGTCTGGGTGTCTTTGGGACTGCTGCTTGCCCACTTTCTCCCTCTTCCAGCTCTGAGAAGCCTTCCTCGCAATGTATTGTCAAAGGCTTTCATGGCTGGAATCACGGGGTTGTTGTAGGTTTTTCGGGCTATATGGCCACGTTCTAGAAGCATTCTCTCCTGACGTTTCGCCTGCATCTATGGCAAGCATCCTCAGAGCTTGTGAGGTCTGATGGAAACTAGGAAAACTTGGGTTTATATATCTGTAGAATGTCCAGGGTGGGAGAAAGGACTCCTGTATCTATGGCAAACATTCTCAGAGGTAATGCGGTCCTCACAATATCTCCATGGCAATGCTCTGACAATAGTGGGCAGGCTCTCTTTGTGGCTCCTTCTTTCCTTCCCCTATTTCACTCATAGGTACCACGAGATGCACAGTCTACCTTAAGAAATGGGTCTACAAAGTGGAGTCCACGACATACGAATGCGGAAAAGAGCAAACCACAGACCATTTACTACAATGCAGCCTGAGCCCTGCCACATGCACAATGGAGGACCTTCTCACAGCAACACAGAGGCACTCCAAGTGGCCAGCTTCAGGTCAAAGGACATTTAGTATAATGCCAAGTTTTTAACTTTGTGTTTTTTAAAAATACATTATAACTGAACCCTCAATTTGCAAACCACAGACAACCTACTACAATGCGATCTGAAACTTGCCATATGCACAATGGAGGACCTTCTCAGTGACACCAGAGGCACTCTGAGTTCTGGCCAAAGGACATTTAGTATACAGTGTTCCCTCGTTATATTATGGTTCGCTTATTGCGGACTTAAGCGGGGGGGGGGGGGGCTGCTGCTCGCCAACTCGGAGACCCCTTGACCTCTGTTGACGGCACTGCCAGGCTGGGCCGAGGCCTCAGACCAGGCCTAGGTCCAGCCTGGTAGTGCCATCAATGGTGCCCAAGGGGCCTCCAAGGCGGCAAGCAGCAGTCTCAGCGAAGAGGACGAGGCCGCTGCCGAGTGGGCAGAGCATCCTTACTTCACGGATTTTCACTTATCATGGGTGGTCCTGGAGTGGATTACTTGCAATAAGTGAGGGAATACTGTAATGCCAAGTTTTTAACTTTGTTTGTGTTGATGTGTTTTGAAAATGTGTAATGTAGATTTCAAAGTGTGTTTGTATGTCTAAAATGTAATGCTATGTTCCGAGAGGATTCCTGTGTGGAAAAGGTTAATTGTACCATGAAAAGAAACGGCATTCCTCAAGAGGTCATAAATCTTAATGCAGATAGCAATGGACGCAGTGCAGTGGATCGTACGTCATACGTCACTCTGGAATGCAGGAGGTGTGGACTAATGCTGATAACGTGTTTTGTTCTTTGTGATGTAGCAGCCGATGGAGAAGAAGTAGTTTTTATTATGTGCTTAGCTTGTAATGTAAATATTTGTACCATAAATTAGCTGATAGTTTAAAGGAGACTGTGATTGATGTGTTTCCTTTCCTTGCTGTGCAGAGAGGCCATTGACAATTTGTGTTTTTAAATACATTATAAGTCTACCCAATTCACTTCTGACATAATAAATTTCCCGCAAACACCTTTCCCACACTTCCTTTCTTTCCTTTCTCTTTTTTCTCTCTTCACTTCAGTCTTTTCTTTCTTCCCTTCCTTTTCCTTCCCTTCTTTTCTTTCTTTCCTTTCCTTCCTTCATATCTTTGTCCATTTCCTCTCTCTTCTTTCCATCCTTTTTTTCTCCTCCCCCCTCCCTCTCTTTATTTTTCCTTATTCCCTTCCTTCTTTTCTTCTCCCTTCCTTTCTTTCCCTCTTTTTCCGTTTCTTTGTTTCTCTCCTCCCATCCCTCCTCCTTTCCCTTCATACAGATGTCACCCAGCTGCAGCCAATCTGATTCACTTCTTTCTCCCCCGAGTCACATCACTGAGGGCCACTTCACCTTCATTCCACTTCGTTCCTTTTCTTCCCTCTGTTCTGGGCCCAAAAAGTGTGGGTTTTTAAGTTCAATTATTGTACTTTGGACAATGAAGGGATGTGTGCCATGTTTGGTGCTGATCTATCAAACCATGGAGGAGCCTTTGTAGTACAACATACAAACCAACCAACATACATAGATACGTTGACTTTGAAATATATTTAGATCAGTCATGGGCCAGCTTGGGCCCTCCAAGTGTTTTGGACTTTCTCATAACCCTCCTGCACGATGAATCTGCGGGGACGATGGGAGCCAAAGAACTATCTACCGTCCAACCTGTTTTTGCAGCTGCAGACTTACCTGGCAGCAATGGGTTGATCTGGGAATCAGCCACCCTTTTGCGTTTCCCAACGCATTCTACAACACGATGTTACTGCAAGGCATTATGGGAAATTTTAATCAGCAACTGGTTCCACAGACCCTGTTCTTGCTTCCAGATCATCCTGGGGCTGCAGGGGTGGGGGCCTAACAAGAAGATCTTGGGATATTTTTTTGGGGGGGGCGGGGTGTGGGATCCATTCTATAGAAGACTCACCATAGCCATATGTATTTATTATTTATTTATTTACGAGATTTATATGCCGCCCTTCTCACCCCGAAAGGGACTCAGAGTGGCTTACAAGTTATAGGTACATACAATATATTAAATTATTAGCATAGCACAATATTAGTATTACATGTTACTATATTATACTATATGACTATACTGCAATATTATTAGTAATATTATATGTAATATAAAATATATAATAATTTTATTATTATATTGTATTATTATATTATTATAATGTTATGATCAATATTATATGTACATACAATATATTATCATTATTAGCAGAGCATAATATTAGTATTATATATTACTATATTGTACTATACCACTATACTGTAACATTATTAGTAATATTACATGTAATATAACATATATAATAATTTTATTATTATATTGTATTATTATTATATTGTATTACAATGTTATGATCAATATTATACATACATACAATATATTATAATTATTAGCATAGCACAATATTATATATTACCATACTGTACTAGACCACTATATTGCAATATTATTAGTAATATTACATGTAATATAAAGTATATAATTATATAATTATTATATTGTATTATTATATTGTATTACAATATTATTATCAATACTATATGTACATACAATATATAATAATTATTAGCATAGCATAATATTAGTATTATATATTACTATATTGTACTATACTACTATACTGCAATATTCTTAGTAATATTACATGTAATATAAAATATATAATAATTTTATTATTATATTGTATTATCATATTGTATTACAATATTATGATCAATATTATATGTACATACATTATAATTTTTAGCATAGCACGATATTAGTATTATATATTACTATATTGTACTAGACCACTATACTGCAATATTATTAGTATGACATGTAATATATAATATACAATTATTTTATCGTATTATTATTAGTATTATGTGTATCACACTATCCAAAGCATCCCACTGAAAAATTGACACATGTGGCTTGAGTGCTAGGTAATGACTCTGGAGACCAAGGTACAAATTGTTTGGCCGTGAAAAACCACTAGGTAACCTTGGGCAAGTCACATTCTCTCAATCTCAGAAGCCCAGGAAAGCAAAGCCCTCTGAACAAAATCTGTCCAAGAGCATCCGTTGATAGGGTTGTGGTAAGTCAAAAACGACTTGAAGGTACACAACAATGACCCTTTACCAGTAACGTGTGACTCCGCAGCTCACACACATTCCTCTGCACATGGACAAGAAGCCTGTTGCTCTTCAAATGTTATTAAACTCCAACCCGCACGCCCAAAAGCATAATTTTTCAGATAGAACCCAAATTGGTAAAGTTTGAATATCCCCAACCCTAGACATGATTTATTTTACCCCAGTGATGCACAATCTGTGTTTCTCCAGTTGTTTGGGACTCTAATTCCAAGAAGCCCTGGTCAGCTTGTCCAATGGTCGGGATTTCTGGGAGCTGAAGTCCAAAATACCTGGAGAGCCACAGGTTATGCACCACTGTTTTACACAGAACTATGCAGGTGTTGGCTTTGGGACCACGTATTCAAACTTTGAAAGTGTAGGTTTCAACCCATAATCCTCCACAGATTGACAACAGGGGAGTGTTTCTTTTAAAGCAGTGGTTCCTAAGCTGTAGTCCGTGGGCCACCAGTGGTCCACGAGAACTAAAATATGGTCCATAGCCTCACCATTACTACACTGTTGCAACAAGAGCAATTGGTCTCGCAAAACCCTCTTGTAGTGCTGAGGCTTATTAAATATGGTTTTCTGTGGGTAAGCAGATGGCGACTACTGGATGGTATATGTTCTGTATCAGAAACTAGAGCTGATGTGGTCTGTCTAATGCAATCTTCTGAATCAGCACCCCAAAAAACCAAACTGAATCTAAAGTTGACCAAAAACTGATTGGTAACCTTTGGTACCAATGTTGGAGAGTGGTCTCTGGTCAAAGTGGTTCCTGGTTAAGTGGTTCCTGGTCAAAGTGGACCATGGTCAAGTGGTCCTTGTTCAAGTGGTACCTGACCAGAAAGAGGTTGGGAACCACTGATTTAGAGAAAAGGCATAGAGGAAGAATGCCATATGCAAGGATAAGTATCTAATAGAACTCAGAGATGACACAGTTGCAGCCCTCTGGATATTGTTAGATTGCAGTTTCCATCAGCTATGACCAATACAACTGAACAGGATTTTTAGTCTCATAGCACTGGAAAAGCCCACCGTTCTAAGATTTTACTCAACATCAAGGAGAGCAATCCTTACCCAGAGAGGCTAGCATCCCGTAATTTGCCACCATGACGTCTCTGTACAGGGCCTTCTGTCTAGGATCCAAGAGAAGCCATTCCTCTGCAGAGAAATACACAGCTATGTCTTCAAAAGTAACAGCAACCTGCCAAAAAGAAATGAGGAAAGACAATTCTATGAAGTTGCCTTCTACTAAAACACATGATCATCAGGCATGTGCAAAAATTTTTTTTAAAAAAATCAGAAGAGTCAGAAATCATAAGAAAATCAAAGTTTTGCAAGTCTGAAGTCTGGAGGGCTGAAGTTTGCCCATGCCTGGTCTACACTGACCATAGAATGAAATTTCAAATGCATTACATGGCAGTGTAGATCCAGGCACAGTCAGCCAACCCTCCTCCCATTTCAATCTGCTTTCTGCAACATCTTCCTCAATGAGTAAACAATAATAACATAAGCTCCCCTTGCTTTTTTGTTTTTGTTTGTGTCTTGGTTTTTAGGCTTGTTCCTGGAGATAGTTAGGCACTGATTCAGAAAACTGCATTTGATAAGACGCATCAGCTCTAGATTTTTAGATAGGGCTATCATGTTTCTCTATGGGTGAGAAAATTGGGATGCTTGGTAGATATCATGTTTTGTATCCCAAAAACTAGAACCGCTAACAGAAAACCAGTGCCATTTTTGGAATCAGCAGGTCGGATATACTGAAAACAGGTCTCCCATTTGAGGCACCAAAATGTTTATTGCCTAGAGTAGTCATATCATCAGCAGCAGCAGCATCTCTAGGAATCTCTAAGTTCTTTAGCGTGAGTCTATGGTCAACTTCTGGTTATAGTTGCCCATGGAGTCATTCTGGAAGCCCTAGAGATTTCTACAGAGAACATATCAAAAAGACAATCAAATCAATAAAGAATCAAATCTGCAAATGTGGAGGGACAACTATACATCATGATCTCAGGTATAGTTGGTGGGGATGAGAGAGAGGGCCTTCTCGGTGGTGGCTTCCTGGCTTTGGAATGTCCTCCTTAGAGAAATTAGATTAGCCCTAAATCTCCCAAAAATTCCATTCGAGACTAAAAACAGGGCTATTTACATGGGCTTTTGACCTGGAGCAATGTACTATGGTCATGTGATGACATCGACCATTGTAATTCTGAACTTCAGTTCATGCTTGAAGAAACCCAATGACCCACAGGTATGATAGTGGGTATGAATTTTTAAAATTTTTAATTTTATCAATTGACATAGTCCATCGTTTGTATTCAATCAAGCTGTATATTATTTCGATGACATGTAATTCTAGTTTATGTGTGGTACCTTGAATGCTTTGTTAGCTGCCCTGAGTCCCTTCGGGGAGATGGCAGCACGGTACAAATAAAATTGTTGTTGTTATTATTATTATTATTATTGTTATCATCATCATCTTCTTCTCCAGCAATACCAAGTAACAATAAATAACGTAAGCACCTGAATTGGCTCCATCACAACAGCAACTTGTTCATGACATTAACTGCATCCTGAGTGGATCGGTAACATCACTCTGTGCCCTAGGAAGGAGACAAAAGGGGACAGAATATTTTGTTTCTGTCGCACATACTAAATATTGGCCTACATTGTAGGAATACCACATGTCTTGTTGCCTAGGAAAGAGTTTATTTATTTATCGTGTCAGGCAACCAAACAGTTGTGTTACATTTTTTACAGATCAGACAAACATACATACATACATACATACAAAAGACAGAGTTTGTAAGATTGGTAGTTGATTAAATGTCCTTTGACCAGTATCTGGCCACTTTGAGTGCTTCTGGTGTTGCCGCAAGAAGGTCCTCCATTGTGCATGTAGCAGGGCTCAGGTTGCATTGCAGCAGGTGGTCAGTGGTTTGCTCTTCTCCACACTTGCATGTCGTGGATTCCACTTTGTAGCCCCATTTCTTGAGGTTGGCTCTGCATCTCGTGGTGCCAGAGCGCAGTCTGTTCAGCGCCTTCCAAGTCGCCCAGTCTTCTGTGTGCCCAGGGGGGAGTCTCTCATTTGGTATCAGCCATGATTGAGGTTCTGGGTTTGAGCCTGCCACTTTTGGACTCTCGCTTGCTGAGGTGTTCCAGCGAGTGTCTCTGTAGATCTTAGAAAACTATGTCTTGATTTAAGTCATTGATGTGCTGGCTGATACCCAAACAGGGGATGAGCTGGAGATGTCTCTGCCTTGGTCCTTTCACTATTGGCTGCTACTTCCCGGCAGATGTCAGGTGGTGCAATACCGGCTAAGCAGTGTAATTTCTCCAGTGGTGTAGGGCGCAAACAACACCCCGTGATAATGCAGCATGTCTCATTAAGAGCCATCTCTACTGTTCTAGCGTGGTGAGATGTGTTCCACACTGGACATGCATACTCAGCAGCAGATTAGCATGGCGCAAGGGTAGATGTCTTCACTGTGTCTGGTTGTGATCCCCAGGTTGTGCCAGTCAGCTTTCGTATGATGTTGTTTCTAGCAGTTAAGATCTCTGACTTAAAGGAACAGAGTTTGGTGGACTGACTTCAACTTCCATCAACCCTGCAACTTTCACATCCGTGGGAGGAATATGTTGGGAGTCCTGTGTGCCATATTTGGTTCAATTCCATCATTGGTGGAGTCCAGAATCCTCTTTGATTGTAGGTGAACTATAAATCCTAGCAACTACAACTCCCAAATGACAAAATCAACTCTTTTGAGTGATGGTCACTCATTGGGTTGTTAGGTGTGTTGTGTCCAAATTTGGTGTCAATTCCCCCAGTGGTTTTTGAGTTATGTTAATCCTACAAACAAACATTACATTTTTATTTATATAGATTTATGTATATAGATACCCCACTTTTGTTGCATTAAGCTTTAATCCATGGCTGTCCCTGTTCAGAAAGAAATGTTTACATTTCTGCCAAAACAACAACAATAATAATAATCCACACCAAAGCTAACCAGGCCCCAAAACTCACCAGCTCCACAAACCTGCTCCTCTCCTTCCAACTTGCTTCAAAACACTGTCCACTCTTTCCCAGGGAAGCTATAGACAACACTCACCATAGAGGCTCCTGCGGCTAGAGCAGCACCAACACACGATTGGCTCAGAGGAGAGACTCAGCGCTTCCTGCTTATAAAACCACGCCCCCTCCCTGTTGCCTTAACTTGCATTGGGAAGTCCTTTTTTAATCCGGAAGTGTGGGTCGAACTTGAATCCACATATTGCTCTAACTCTTCAAGCAGAGTCATCAGAGAGCTGCAATGTCTAGACTGGAAGAGCATTGATTGGCCTCCCAAGTAGTTTGGACTTCAACTCCCAGAAGCCCCAGCTACTGTGGCCAGTTGTTAAGAATTCTGGGAGATGAAGTCCAAAACACCTGGAGGACCACAGATCATTGTTATCATTACTTCTGCTGCTTAGGGTTGTTCAAAGCACTATCACTCTTTGGCAGAAAAGGCAAAGATCTTATGATAGAATCAAAGAGTTGGAAGAGACCTCATGGGCCATCCAGTCCAACCCCCTGCCAAGAAGCAGGGAAATCACATTCAAAGCACCCCTGACAGATGGCCATCCAGCCTCTGTTTAAAAGCTTCCAAAGAAGGAGCCTCCACCACACTCCGGGGCAGAGAGTTCCACTGCTGAACGGCTCTCACAGTCAGGAAGTTCTCAAACTACAGCTCCCATCACTCCAATGAAAACTAGCTCAAGTGTTTGATTATAGAATCATAGAATCAAAGAGTTGGAAGAGACCCCATGGGCCATCCAGTCCAACCCCCTGCCAAGAAGCAGGAATATTGCATTCAAATCACCCCTGACAGATGGCCATCCAGCCTCTGCTTTAAAAGCTTCCAAAGAAGGAGCCTCCACCACACTCCGGGGCAGAGAGTTCCACTGCTGAACGGCTCTCACAGTCAGGAAGTTCTTCCTCATGTTCAGATGGAATCTTCTCTCTTGTAGTTTGAAGCCATTGTTCCGCATCCTAGTCTCCAGGGAAGCAGAAAACAAGCTTGCTCCCTCCTCCCTGTGGCTTCCTCTCACATATTTATACATGGCTATCATATCTCCTCTCAGCCTTCTCTTCTTCAGGCTAAACATGCCCAGACATGTGCCTTTCATCTCAAGAACAGAGAAGCATCCCGAGCTCTGAAGATCACCTGGGAAAGAATCCCACTGGAGCATTGCAGCGCACCCAAATACCTGGGAGTCACTCTGGACCGTGCTCTGACCTACAAGAAGCACTGCCTGAACATCAAGCAAAAAGTGGGTGCTAGAAACAATATCATACGAAAGCTGACTGGCACAACCTGGGGATCACAACCAGATACAGTGAAGACATCTGCCCTTGCGCTGTGCTACTCTGCTGCTGAGTATGCATGTCCAGTGTGGAACACATCTCACCACACTAAAACAGTGGATGTGGCTCTTAATGAGACATGCCGCATTATCACGGGGTGTCTGCGCCCTACACCACTGGAGAAATTACACTGCTTAGCCGGTATTGCACCACCTGACATCCGCCGAGAAGTAGCAGCCAATAGTGAAAGGACCAAGGCAGAGACATCTCCAGCTCATCCCCTGTTTGGGTATCAGCCAGCACGCCAACAACTTAAATCTAGACATAGTTTTCTAAGATCTACAGAGACACTCGCTGGAACACCTCAGCAAGCGAGAGTCCAAAAGTGGCAGGCTCAAACCCAGCACTTCAACCAATGGCTGATACCAAATGAGAGACTCCCTCCTGGGCACACTGGGCGACTTGGAAGGCATTGAACAGACTGCGCTCTGGCACCACAAGATGCAGAGCCAACCTTCAGAAATGGGGCTACAAAGTAGAATCCTCGACATACGAGTGTGGAGAAGAGCAAACCACTGACCACCTGCTGCAATGCAACCTGAGCCCTGCCACATGCACAATGGAGGACCTTCTTGCAGCAACACCGGAAGCACTCCAAGTGGCCAGATACTGGTCAAAGGACATTTAACCAGCTACCAAACTCACAAGTTGTGTATTTTTCTGTTTGTTTGCTTTGTTCTGTTAGAAATGTAATATAATGGACTGGCTGCTCTGACACGACAAATAAAAAACTCTTTCTCAAACTACAGCTCCCATCACTCCAATTAAAACTAACTCCAGTGTTTGATTACTTTTTAAAGTCTCTTTTGGAAGCTTTTCGTTTAATTATGAGGTGTCTTGTAAATTTCCCTGATCTTTCTATCTCTATACAGCAGTGTTTCTCAACCTGGGGGTCGGGACCCCTGGGGGGGTCGTGAAGGGATGTCAGAGGGGTCGCCAAAGACCATCAGAAAACACAGTGTTTTCTGTTGGTCAGGAGGGGTCTGTGTGGGAAGTTTGGCCCAATTTTAATGTTGGTGGGGTTCAAAATGCTCTTTGATTTTAGGTGAACTATAAATCCCAGCAACTACAACTTCCGAATGTCAAGGTCGATTTCCCCCAAATTCCACCTGTGTTCACATTTAGGCATATTGAGTATTCATGCCAAGTTTGATCCAGATCCATCATTGTTTGAGTCCATAGTGCTCCCTGGATGTAGGTGAACTACAACTCCAAAACTCAAGGTCAGTGCCCACCAAACTCTTCCAGTATTTTCTGTTGCTCATGGGAGTTTTGTGTGCTAAGTTTGGTTCACTTCCATCATTGGTGGAGTTCAGAATGCTCTTTGATTATAGGTGAACTATAAATCCCAGCAACTACAACTCCCAAATGACAAATTCCATTTCCCCCAAACTCCACCAGTGTTCACATTTGGGCATATTGAGTATCCATGCGATGTTTGGTCCATATCCATTATTGTATGAGTCCACAGTGCTCTCTGCATGTAGGTGAACTACAACTCCAAACCTCAAGATCAGTGCCCACCAAACCCTTCCAGTATTTTGTTAGTCATGGGAGTTCTGTGTCCCAAGTTTGATTCACTTCCATCATTGGTGGAGTTCAGAATGCTCTTTGATTATAGGTGAACTATAAATTCCAGCAACTACAACTCCCAAATGACAAAATCAATCCCCTCTCCAACCCCACCAGTTGGGTGTATCAGGTATTTGTGCCAAATTGGGTCCAGTGAATGAAAATACACCCTGCATATCAGATATTTACATTACGATCATAACAGTAGCAAAATTACAGTTATGAAGTAGCAATGAAAATAATGTTATGGTTGGGGGTCACCACAACATGAGGAACTGTATTAAGGGCTCGCAGCATTAGGAAGGTTGAGAAACACTGCTATACACTGTGTGTATGTGTGTGTGTGTGTGTGTGGGGGGGGGTATTTAGTCAGATACCAATTGTACAAGTTCTCCAACTTAAAAAGATGAGACAGGTCTGTAATTGACATCATAGGTAGACCTCAACTATGAGAGATAACATGCCTGATTTTTAACAATTTGCAAACTAGCCATCCCCTGCCATCCCCATACCCAGTCTGTGTATAAGAGTTTTGTGTGTGTATATATGTGTATATGTGATGGCGAGCCCGCCTGTGGTCCCTGCTTTCCAGCTGATCTGACCAGCTGCAGGGAGTTCCGCAGTTCCTGGATGCCAACTTTGATAAAATGTGCCCCAGCAGCAGCCTCAAGCAAGGACTCTCTCCAACCTTGAGCTCTCTCCTTTTGCTTCTCTCCCCAGCCCAAACATTGTAACAAACCCCTAATAAAGACTAATTGAATTGTAACCTCATTACCTCTGAGGATGCTTGCCATAGATGCAGGCGAAACGTCAGGAGAAAAATTGCCTCCAGAACATGGCCATATAGCCCGGAAAAACCTACAACAACCCATGTAACCTATACCTAATTAAAGAGAAACAGCTGATTGTCAGACAGGGCTTTCTGCTGCTGCGCTGCTCCTGCCAACGCTTCGTTGCCCTCTTGGAGCCCCAGGACCCGGGGAACTTGATGTGGTCACCCCATGGGATCCTTGGGAACTTGCCATCCTCGCTCCGGACCCCAAGGGAGATGTAGTTCTCTTCAGACCCAAGGGCAAGCTCCAGCCCCAGCAATGCAGAGCTCCATATCCTGGCTCAGTAGACTTACCAAGCAACTTCTTATGATTTTTTTGAACCCTTTTTGCTCCACATCAAGGTATTTAAAAGTTTTGTATACCGACCTTCTCACCTCTCTTGAGGGACTCAGACCGGTTTCCAACCATAATATCACATACAGTCAATAAAACATCATACTTCATATTACAATAAAACATTAAAACATTAAAACAGCAATTACATTCAATAAATACAATGGTCAGTCGTCCCACTAAAATCGATGTTCATCATCCTCCATCCATATCTCAGGGTGTTGGCTCACTCGTCGAATGCCTGTCTGCATAACCAGGTCTTCACCTGTTTCCTAAATGTCAGGATAGATGGGGCGGTTCTGATCTCCGGTGGGAGAGAGTTCCAGAGTTGAGTGGCCACTACCGAGAAGGCCCTGTCCCTCGTCTCCACCAGAGGCGCTTGCGAGGCCGGTGGGACCGAGAGCAGGGCCTCTCCAGACGATCTTAATAATCTTGATGGTTCATAGGGGAGAATACGTTCGGAGAGGTAAACAGGGCCGGAGTCGTTTAGGGCTTTATAGGTTAACACCAGCACTTTGAATTGTGCTCGGAAGCTAATTGGCAGCCAGTGGAGCTGGTGTAACAGCGGAGTGGTGTGCTCCCTGTACCCAGCACCCGTTAGTAGTCTGGCTGCCGAGCATTGGACATAAAGGACTCTCTTTCCCATTATGGACATATTTTCTTCTATGGACTTTCATATAAATATTATGAACTAAAGACATATACTGAGCCATGATCGAGGCTCTTATCAATCTCACTTGGACCCTGAGAATAGCTCAGCACCTGAGCCAGCTACAGAAATTAATGAGCCATTAGATAGAAGGCATGTTTTTAGTCAGCACAGGCAAAAAACCAATCTCTCAGGCGTTCTGCCAGACTGAGAGAGAGATTGATAACAGAGTCAAGGCTGAAATGAAATCCGTTCCTGGCCACTTGGGACATAGAGTAGATTAGGTGATAAAAGTGCCAAGTATAGAATCTGTAGTCGGATGAAGCATCATTGGAATT